CTGACCCCCATTTCTGTTCTTTATCGGGTACTCAGAGGGACCGGGCTTGAAGTCTTACTGTTCACAGTGGCCAACGTACTGACTGCCACAGGATTAACCAGGTCTGAGAATTAGAGCCCATGGCCACAGGCTGGAAAGTGGACCCCATCTGCCTAAATCCCGCTAACTAACTAACTAACTAACTAACTAACTAACTAACACATAGTTCCAACCACCAGGAAAATAAATGCTTGGATTTTTTTCTGAGTTACCCCAGCACTCAAATGTAGTGCTTTTGTATTTGCTTTAGCTGTTTTTTTTTTTCTTCCCACATCTTGGTCATTCGGAGCAGTGATGCAGAATTTAACAGTTTCAACAGAGAGTTGTTTATATTCTTTTGCTGAAATTGATGTGTGGCCCTGGCCCATAATATTTATCCATGTTTTCCTTTTTACTTAATTGTAATTAGCATGCTGTTTATTGCATTCCTTTTACCTTTCCTTAAGAATTTGCTTTTTCCTCCAATTGTTTGCATTGATATCTTTTGAATTTCCTCTCTCTTATTTATTTTTTGGCATAAATAATAATTGGTGCTACAGTGGGAGCTTGATAAAGCTTTTTATTATGTTCCCTTTTGTCCAGCAGCAATCGTGAGACATAAAACATGTTTAAACAGTGTGTTCAGAGTTACACAACAGAAGGGAAACAAAGTTCTTAGTAAGAATGTGTGTTCTTAGTTTTCTACAATCTGTTTTTATTAAAGGTCCAAGTCTCTTAATATTTCCATTATTTTTTCTCTAAATCTTTTAGTTTTTTTCCTGTATCTTAATTAGAATTTTCTCTTAAATTCTTATATTTGTGTTGTTTTTAAAATGTCTTCTTGAGTCTATCCTCATTGCTTACTATCTTGGTTCAGCAGTGCTGTGGAACAAATTCATGTTCTCTCAGTTTAGTAAAGTGTTAATTTATTTCTCCAAATCATTAGTCAGTGATGCCAGTTAAAACTTAATATTCTCATATATAAAAAAAATTATCCCACTTCAAGATTATTCAGTAAATTGTGTGAGAATTGTTGGTAATTTATTTGGGGGTAAAAAAACACCTAAGTGACTCTTACCTTTACCATATCCCAAAATAAATTACAAATAGATTAAAAGATTAACTTTTTAAAAATCTTAACTTCTAGGAGAAGTTAACTGATGTAAGAACCAACTTAAGAAAAGATAAATATGTTTAAATAAATATAAATGTAACTTATCCTTAGTATTTTAAGGCAATAATAAACTGCATATTTGCAATTGATAAGTTTGAAAAGTAATTAATATCTTATATAATAGTAATCAGTAATAAATACATTAATGTCATAATAGAAACATTAAACAAAAGCAAGGACAATTCTCAAAGACAATGAGCAACAAATGAACAAGCATATGAAAATGTATTTCTCACCAAAGAAAGAAAAATTAAACAATAAACCACTACCATTACCACCTATAAAATAGCAAAATTCAAGTCATTTTGAATGCTAATGAAGTTTGTGTGACCGAGTGATTTTAATTCCTTTTTTAAAACTTCCAGATTATACAAATTTTTTACAATAAGCATGCTGTTTTTATAATGAAAAAGTAACCTTTTGAAATCTAGATGGATGTAAATTTAATGTCTTCTCCCCAAGCACAAGACATGACAAAGTTTCCAAATTTTTAAGTCAATTTTACTGATATAGTTTTCTAATTTCACTGTATTTCAATAAACCTAAAAATATTGTTTGCTCCTTGAAAGTAAGAATTAACCAAAGCAGAGCTTTTTCCAAGGTAATGACACCCGGTGGTAACATTTCACAGCCGGGATAGGAGAGTACTTAACATGCCACCACGTGGAAAAGGCTCTCCCTAAGGTCAACAGTCAGTGCAAGTTTAACCTCATAAATGAACTTGGAGACATTGTCCGAGGTGTTAAGGTGAAGTGCTCTGGAATTGTTTAGGGTTCAGGGGAAATGGATTTGTCACAATAAAGGGAAATTTTAAGATAAATAGGTAATCAAGAAGGATGTATTTTTCTTCAGTAACAGATGTGTAGATTCCATCCATTGTTTTCCAAATGTTAAAGCTAACCTCAGTGTAAACAATTATAAGTTTATGTGAAGATCTCTTAAAATAGGTCCCTGAGAAAAACAGAAGGTGAGAGTTATGTAGAACTGTATTCATTATTACTTAAATTTCATGATAGGCGTAGCTTTTCAGATGTAACCCAGTTGAATAGCCTGGCTGAAGGTCAACCACGGGGACTGGAAGAGGCGGTCCAGACAAACACGACTGTAAAGACCGAATTCTTACCCCTGAATATTGAATTGCTTCCACAGTATAGCTCAGAAATACTGATCTTCCCCCCAGCAACCGACGTCATGGAGGGAACTGTATGGTCTAACATAACCTACACGCCCTCCCCTTGCTTTTGGGTGACAAAGCAGACAGAGCCTGGGTTTTAAACTCAAAGCTGGATTAAACGTTTGCTCCACTATCGTGTTCCTAAATTAGTTACTTCTTCACCTGTGGAATGGGTGAAAGTAATACCTCAGCTGTGGTGAAGACGGAAATACCATATGTGCAGTGTTTGGAACAGTGCTTGGTAAATAACTAGTGTTTAATAAATATTAGTTTCCTTTCTTTCTTCTCTTGCCAAACAAAAGTCATTCTTCCTTTTATTAAGTTAGTTTGCCTGAAAATGCTTTCATGTTTTTTTCTCATTTTATCACAGAACCCTTAGGAAACTAACTCACCAGCTCAGATGGACCTTACACCTGAGATCCCTCTTTTAATCCCAGGTGTGGGCTGGGTTTGCTGTGGGAAGCCAAAACGGAGGTTGCTATAACCTGATGTTCTGAATTCTCTCTTTTCTGGGTTTGGGCAGACTTTTTCTAGTCTTACAGTTAGATTCTATGAGTCTTGCCTCTCTCTTATCTCTCCTATGTAACCTATTCCCTCAATTCCAAAAAACTGCTTATACGCTATTTCTCGAAGATGTCTTATCATTTCCTGTTCCCACACTTTTTCCCCTGCCAGACTCTGTCACAAATAACCCTCGACCCAAAATGTGCCCCCTGAGCTTTTCCTTTCAAGGCCCAGTGCAAATGGCCCCTCCTTCAAGCATGTGCCCTGAGCACTCTGAATGGACAAGACCTCACCTTCCACTAAACCACCGTGGCCCTAGGTGTCACTCAGCTGACAGATTGCAGATACTTTTGACTTTTGGAACTGAAGACTAACTGAATAGAATAACGGTTTAAAGTGGCGTGTGATTGGCAATCCCTTCAGCAATCCCTTCAGCCTCCTCACTAAGATACCCGTGAAACCAGAAAAAGCCAGATTCTCACAAATACACTAAAAACTAAAAAACAACCTATTATCAGAATCAGGAAGGAATTTCTGCCAATTTAAAGGACAGGAGAATTGGATTGAGAAACATTAAATACTGCTTTCCCATGAAAAATGGATTAAAATTCCCAACCTGATAGCAGAGCCAATCTTTGCTCCTCTTCAACTGTTTACCTTTTGTCCAGAAAAAAGGAACCCCATCACTCACCACCAACACACACACACACTCACACACATCCCAGCAATGAAAGGGGACTGACATCCCTCCCACTGGCAGGCGGTATTTTATGGGTGTCCAGAATGCTGTCCAATAGTCTCTAATGCAGTGATCTAAAGGAGTAAAAAATAATAATGGGGGGAAGATTTGTCAAGAACATGCCACAAAAGTACAGGATGTCAATATTAATTTTTTAAAGTCAGATGTGAGGCCAAACATAAAATTAATGAGAAAATACTTAATATTGACAGAAATATACAGTTGATGTGGACCCCAGCTTGTAGTGTCCGCCACATTGTGGATGAGGCAAGAGAAATTCACACGGACTACTGAGTCCTGTGGAGGAAAAGGGATGACATGGTTTTTCTCTCAAAGGGAGAAAAAGCCGTGTCCTCCACCATGACAGGCCTTTATGTCTCCCCCACACCCCCACCCCATCCCCTCTGGCACCTTAGGTGATGGTCCTCATTTACTATGCAGAGGTTTGCTTTAGGTGGTTATCTTTTACAGAAAACAAAGGAGCCAATGCTGCTAATCACAGAAGAGGGATATTTGCAAATGAAAAGGGAAAAATGGTTGAACCCATTACACTCACCCTTGGAAGGTTTAGCGTGGATTTTAGGAAGTTACTTTGCAGTAAATGTTTTTTGCCTCAATTCAGGGTAAGGGAGTTTTAGCAAGAGCAAGTCTCCAAGCGGCCAAGGTACACTGCAGGCCTGATTCCTCATGGGAGAACCTATCCATCAGTGTGGGTTCTGTGCATCAGAACTTGCTTTCCAGTGGGAGTTGGGCCCACACCATGCAGAATGATCTCCTACATACAGTGAAGATATAATTATGAATCTCTTCAAGGAATATAATATCTAAAATATATAAAGTAAAAACTAATAGAAATATAAGGGAAAAAACAAACACAATTATTATGAAAGACTCACATACATATCTCAGGATTTGGCAAATCCACTAGGAAAAAAGTGAGAGCAAACACTTAAGTAACCATCAAGTAAAAGCGGGATTAAAAATATCAGAGGGTTATATGATTTATAAGTAGGACTCTCAGACATACATATAACTAGTGTTATTTTGTTATACCTATTCCTCAATTCAAATGCAATGTTTACTTTTCCTAAAATTTTCATTTACTATGACTAGCCATCCTATTATTTCTGTAACAATGATATTAATTAATAAATTATAGTGCATTTCCTCAATTCAGAGTTATTTCCAACAGTGAAATTGTCAGTTTCCTGTAGAGAAACTATAGATAGTTGCTATACTCAACTGTGGTGCTGTAAGAGCAAAAGGTATTTGGTCCCTCTTTCTGCAAAAGTACTCACTGAATTGTGTATAGATTGGTACAGAAAGACAGTTTTGTGCAATCAAAATAATCATGCGGTGTTTAAACTTAATAACATTCTTCTCCAATGTAGACGAGGGTCCAATGTGTCTCTGACTTTGGACATGAGTAGCCTGGGGAATGTTGAACCCTTTGTGGCTATACCAACCCCACGGGAGAAGGTTGCAATGGAGTATCTGCAGTCAGCCAGCCGCATTCTCACAAGATCACATCTGAGGGATGTCGTGGCAAGTTCACATTTACTCCAAAGTGAATTCATGGTGAGCCAGTTATTTATTATTCACCCTTCATGAGTTATTTTGATAAATGAGGCACTAGATGCACACACTAAAATAGTATGACCCTCCACTGAACAAATGGTTACCTTTCACAAGGTTAAGTGCAAGGGCTTTAGATCCACCCTGCAGCTCATCAACTATGGATGTGCTCAAACTAGGATGCTCAAGTCAGTAGTAACTGACTTGAGACAGATTACATAGGAGATGACCAGGCACAGGAATGGCAAGGGGAGCTGGGCAGAGAAGAGCATTCCAGAATGAAGCAACATTCTTGCTGTCACTGTTTGGGGAAGACAGGGATGGTACCTTAGTTTTTTACCTAGAGCAACAGGGTGCTCTTTAATGAACTAAGGAACACAGGAGAGGGACAAATGTGGGCTAAAATGATTGTGGGTTTCAGCTAAACATGATGATGATTCGTCAGTGTTGCCAGTGATAACTTAATTCATGAAAACACATTTCTACTCACAGAGCATGTAGACAGATTAGACCTTCCTTGGTCTAATTGTTGCCCAAGGGGAATATTCTTTCTATAGATCAGTTGGCATCTTAAATCAGTTGTACATCTTAAGCCATAATTGTTGAGAATAATAAATTGATCCTTCTGTGTTAGTTCAGATCTTTGCAACTACTTTAATGGTGAAAGATCCAGCAATGGGTTAGATTTACTATTACCCTCATTGATGATTCTCAAGTGTTTAAAGTAAAATACTAAGTGAAGTTTTTTTAAAGCCGACTGTATAGTGTCATATTTTTATATATAAAGAAAATGAGACTTAGAGAGATAAATCCTCCAGTCAATGATCACACAACTAGCCAAAGGTATATCCATTATTCTTTTCCAGAATCACAGAGAATCTTTGTTCTTTAAGAGAAGCCCTTCCCATAAAGATGAGATGGGGCCAAAAAGGAGTACTGAAGAGAAAAATAGTGATGGAAGATGACAAATTGTCAGTGAGAGTCAGAAAACAGGAAGGAGCACAGGAGGCATAAAGATGCCACCTGCTCCGTGGCTTTGCCAAACAGGCTGACCTTTTTGAAATCACAAGATGTGAACATGTGGTTTCAACTGACTATTCCACCATTTTGCTTATTTGGTAACTTGGACTGAGAATTTTCACATTTAGTTACAGTAGAGAGAAGGGATAAATATTATAAATTCTACAGTAATACAAGTTTAGAAAATGATATTTTAAAAGTATGCTACTCCTCTTTACAGGCCACATCTATCCTGACTGAGGATAGTCAAGCTTTCCTCAAGTTTTTAGCTTAACTGGAAACTAGGACAATTTGAATTAATCTATGGATACTTTCTTTCATTTCAATGAATATTTGGCTTTTGAGTTATATTTTCCAGTGGAGAACGTTTAAGTAACAAAAATATTATTTTATGTGATCTAGAGATAAAGGCTATTTTATTTCACATTAACCTTATCTTAGCACTCCTTTGTGGAATTTTAAGTTAGAGAACATAACACTTTGTTTAATCAAATACTTAAATATTTGTTTCAACCCGTTGGAAAACAGGCTTCCTGGTTTTTTCTCCAGCCAGTTGCAGGTGCTCACCTTTTGGGCCTAAGGCATGTCCCCAGAGCCGCTTCTGCTCTGATTGGTCTCTGGTTATTCAAGGCACACGACATACCTTCTGGCTGAAGAAGAACATTTATAGTCTTGTTAAAGTGAGAGAAAACAGTGTCTGGATGCCTTTCACTGACAGTATTGCGTTGACAATCACTATAGGAAGAGTACAATTACAGGCCATTCTTTAACACAAAAAAGCACTGTTCTGTCATTACTTGAATCAACAAAAATAGCCCTTTACATTTATGCCATTTTAGGGAGGAATGTTTTAATAATCTTAAAAGAGTCACAATTAATATTAAAAGAGAATTCATGATAGGGAAATTTTGGGTACTGAACTTACATAAAGATGTGAAAAAATTTGAATACACTGTTAAAATATCAATTTTCAGCTTCCTGTTTATATATATTTTCAGCAATTATGCAGAACAGGATTCTTAAAATCTAAGCCAAGTTTTGTATGTTTCTTAAATAACTACATATAAAATAATGCTTTCTAACACAGAAAACTGTTTCTTGGAGTCAGCTTACCAGGGTGCAGCCAATATGTCTGTGAAAGGAAGGGTGTTGGCCGCCCAGAGGTGGCAGACTGTTGTTTATAAAAACTCTGAAGGGCAGTGGGGTTTCGAATCAGATGCCCCCTGTGAAGATTTTCTTTGCGGAAGTGTTAGATGCACTAACTTGATATCATTCACTTTTGCAGGAAATACCAATGAACTTTGTGGATCCCAAGGAAATTGACATTCCACGTCATGGAACTAAAAATCGCTATAAGACCATTTTGCCAAGTAAGTTTCTGGAATTAAACAGTTTGCACTGTAACTTGCAAGCTTTCCCCTGCTTACCCCTGCCTTGCCATTTCCCATCATCACAGCTTCCACATTCACACCAGATTTGGAGTTGCAAACAAATACCAAGACTGCTAATCATTAAAATGGTCTAAGTATAAAAACTTTATCTTGCATGACTCTTATTATAATGGTGAGCCCGCAGCTGTAGGAGACATGTGGTTCTAAAATTGTGTTGTGCCACGCATTGTAGCCTATTTGCATTGAGGGTGTTAATTCAATGGGGGAAAGAAAGTCTTTTTAACAAATGGTATGAGGCAACGGGATATTCACTTGCAAAAATAAAATTGGACCCTGCCTCACACCATATACATATTAACTTAAAATGGATCAGAGACTTAAAGGTAAAACCCAAAACTATAAAACTCTTGGTATAAAACAGATGTAAATCTTCAGAGCCCTGAATTAGCCAATGGTTTCTTATTTATGATGCCAAAAGTACAAACAACAAAAGGAAAAAAATTAGATAAATTGACTATCAAAATTAAAATTTTGTGCTTTAAAGGACACCACCAAAAATAAAAACATGACTTGTAAGATGGGAGAAAATATTTATAAATTATACATCTAATGAGGGACTTATATCTAGAATATATAAGAACACTTACAACTCAATTATAAGGAAACCAAATAACCCAATTTCAAAAATAGGCAAAGAACTTGAAGAAACATTCTTGTTAGAAGATGTACAACTGGCCAATAATCATTTGAAAAGATGCTTACCATCATTAGCCATTGGGAAATTTGAAACCACAGTGAGATACCACTTCATATCCACATGATGATGATAAAAGAAGTAGACAATAGGAAGTGTTGGTAAGGGTGTAGAGAAGTTGGAGCCTTCATACATTTACAGTAGGGTTATAAAATGGCACAGTTACTCACAAAACAGTGTGCTGGTTCCTCAAAAGGTGAAACCAAGAGCTAATGTACAACTCAGGCAACCTGATCCTAGGTATATAACCATAAGAAATGAAAATATGTGTGCACACAAAAGCTTACACAAATTTTAACAGCATTATAATAGCCCCCAAAGTGAAAACAACCAAAATGCCCACCAACTGATGAATAGGAAAACAAAATGCAATATATTCATACAACAGAATATTATTCAGCAATAAAAAGGAATGAGGCACTGATACATGCTACAACCTGGATGAACCTTGAAAACATGTTCAGTGCGAGAATTCATCACATAAGACCTTACATTATATAATTTTGTTCATATGAAGTATCCAAATAGACAAATCTATAGAGACAGAAACTGCATTAGTGATTGCCTAGAGTTGGGAGACATGGCAAATGACTGCTAGAAGGTATGGAGTTGATTTTTTGGAATAAAGAAAACGTAACTCATGGACACAGACAAGAGTGTAGTGATTGCCTGGGGTGGGGGGCCCTGGGGGCGGTAGAGAAGGATAGAGGGGAGATAAATGGTGATGGAAGGAGACCTGACTTGGGGTGTCGAGTGCACAGTACAGTGTACAGATGATGTGTTGTGGAATTCTGCACCTGAGACCTGTATAATTCTGTTAACCAGTGTCAGCCCAATAAATTCAATTAAAAAAGAAGAAAGAAGAGAATGTTGTAAAACTGACCGTGGTGATGGTTGCAAACTCTGTGAATAAAAATAAATAAATAAGCTCTGTGATAGCATACTTTAAATGGGTCAATCATAAGGTAGGCAAATTATGTCTCAATAAAGCTGTTATTAAAAAAAACTCATTTTGCATAACAATTACCTAGCGTCTTCATTACAACTCCAGAGTCCTGTGCCCCACACTGGGGATCCTATTTAAGTAAGTCTTTTGTTGGGCCCAGGAATCTGTACTTCTAGCAAACACTCATTCCGATATTTCTCATTCCAATGAGATATAAGTCCATAGGACTATGGTCCATAGGAGGACTATGCTTTGAGTAATACCTCTATGGACTATGTGACAACTGAATTTAGCTCCATGGATTTTATCCACGTTCAGATATGAGACGTGTGCCAGGAGCTAGCAAGAAGTAAGAACAGTCTACAAGATCAAAAAGGACGTAAGCTAGAGGGGAGAGACAGGTAATTGAGTAATTACAATCAATGTAATAAGAGCCAGAATAGAAATCTGGCCCAAGTGATGTAGGCCTAATTAATTCTGACTAGAGTGGCAAAAGCACTTAGAAGAGGAAGTGGCATTTTGAATCACTAAACAAACAGATATACTTGTGGTTTTGGCATAATCATAAACATCTCATGGCAATAGCTCTGGAAAGATAGAACCACAAAGATTTTTTTTAAGTATTGACATTGAGAGAATACAGTCTTCATAATTCAGCCCACTAATTTACTCATAATACAGCAAATTTTCTATATTTATGGTAATAGCAGGAGCTATGGTGTCTTTGGGCTTTCCTTCTGGTGGCCTTGGAAACACATCGTTAAAGTCACTCTACTACAGCACGTTTTTAATTGGTCCGTACAGTTCAATCTGTTTACCCAAGGGACAGTCACTGTGAAGGGTATTTTATAACTACAACTGGCTGAATGGGATAAAGCTGTTGTGTGTTAGGATCGATGTCTTTCTCTCTGTTCAGATTTTTTAATTAAAAATTTACCAAACAGAGGTAACTAAGGCACACATATCCATCTAATCTCAGAAGGATTTGAAAATTATTAGAATTATTTCAAAATTCAGCCTTCTCTATTGCCTGTGCAGATGATAGCAGACAACTGCTTCATAGTCCTGTGTCCGCTTTTTCCGTTCCCAGAACTGGGTGCGTCTCTTGAGCCAGGGCACCTGCGCTAACAGCTGATGCAGCAAATGATGCATTTTCTGTTGAAAATGCCTGTAGTCTGAATATCATACCCATGCCCTGTTGCACAAAATGTAATTTAGTAAATATGCCTTGGCCAAGCCTCACCATTGTTGAAAATAATCAGGAAAAGACTAGAACAAATATGCAAAGTTGTTCTTTAAGGTTTATTTTAGACTGTAATATGAGATTAGTTTGACATATTACATAAAATAATTAGCAAGTTAAGGTTTTAAATGTTATAATTGTTTTTATTATTTTGATCGACAATAAGCATTTTTTTAAAGATTTTATTTATTTTTAGACAGAGGGGATGGGAGGGAGAAAAAGAGGAAGAGAAACATCAATGTGTGGTTGCGTCTTGAGCGCCCCCTACTGGGAACCTGGCCAACAACCCAGGATGTGCCCTGACTAGAAATCAAACCAGCAATGCTTTGGTTCGCAAGGTGGCACTCAATCCACTGAACCACACCAGCCAGGGATACAATAAACATTTTTAAAGCTCAGTATTATTTTCTATTAGTTTCAGGTGTACACCATAGCAATTAGACAATCATATACTTTACAAAGTGGTCCCCTGATATTTCCAGTACCCACATGGCACCGTACATAGTTATTAGAATATTATTGACTATATTCTCTATGCCATGCTTTACATCCTCATGACTTACTCTGTAACTACCAATCTGTACTTCTTCATCCCTTCACCATTTTCATCCAGCCCCCCACCCAGACCTCCTCCTCTCTGGCTGCCATCAGTCTGTTATATGTATCTATGAGTCTGTTTCTGTTTTGTTTGTTCATGTATATTCGATAAAAATTTTAGGTTTAGGAGCTCATCAACTTGTGCATAATAGTGAGGTTATATAATTTTGAGGATGTTTTGCAGCAGAAATATGGATGGCCAAGTACCAATTTAATTATAGTTGTTTCTCTAAGGACGGTGCCAGCCTAAGGACAGAACACTCTTAACTGGTCGATTAAAGGGCTAAGGTCAAGTTTATATCAAATTATTTTACAATCTAAACAAACATTAGTGATGAAAATATATCTACAGCTTAAATCAAAAAAGCACTGGGGAAAAACCTACCATATGCTAATGTAAAATTATGCGTACAGCAATAAAGTATAATAACAAATTTTATGTATATGTCTCTCATGCAGTCCACTTATTTATACTAGTGTAAAATAATGTAGATAAAATTAAAGAACCCTGTTTGTTCAGGCCATCATTTCATATTTTAAAATTTAATGTCTGATAATGTTTCCTACTTAAATTATGTTTCCTTTTTTATATTAACTGCATGGAACAGAATAGATATGCAAATAAGTTAACTACTCATTAAGACAAGTTATGTGACTACCACAAAATATTGGCGTTAGACTTGATCTTCTGGCAAAACATTAACAATTTAAGACATGCTACTTAATCTTCCTATGTCATCCTCTCTTTATTCCTTAAAACAGTGATAATGATACTACTCTAAGGACAATTGGGAGAATTAAATGACAGTAACTATGGAATTCCCAGGAGAGTTCCAACTAATAGGAAGCCCTCAGCTAATGTTAATATCTCCTTTTCCTCTCTAACAAAAACAATGAATCCAACATTAAGCCCAGAGCCAATTTCAGAAAGTAGGGACACTCTCTATATGGTAAAAAATTTACAGTTGGGAAAGAAACATATTCAAGAGCCTTCTTTTCTTTTTAAATTTTCACATGAGTCTTAATAAACGTGCTTCTATGTCATCTCTGTCTTCCATTGCTAAGACCAGCATTGTCCACTAAACTCTCTATGATGATGGAACTGCTTCAGATCTGCCCCGAAGCAACCGCAAGGTGCCTGTGGCTACTGAGTACTTGAAGTATAATGAGTGCTCCCAAGAAACTGATTTTTTAATTTAATTTTATTTTGTTTTAATTAACTTAAATTTAATAAGCTACATGTGGCTGATGGCTACCATATGAGGCACTGTAGAGCTAGATTCTTCTCTCTTGCAGCGCATTTTAAGATGACTCCCAGTCACCTTGCAGGTGTGGCCAGTCCCTGCCTTTCCTACCATTTCCCATTTGTCTTAAATACATCTCTGAAAGCAATCCTATTCCTCTCAGCCCTGCCTTTGCCCTGGCAGCGATACACTTGTCCCTCATCTAATCGTTTCTTCTCTTGACTTCAAATTTCAAACACATTTCTTCCAGGAGAAGAAATCTTAAACACAGAAAATAATCTTTAACAAAATCTTATAGGATGCCAATCAAAATACCAGGGTCCAGGTACCATTTCATCTGTTAAATAGAAGACTTAGGATTGCCAGAAGGTATTTTAAAGAGACTAGGGTGGGAAATTTTACGTGTTCTTTTTCCAAATCTATATGTGTTCAATAATTTGTTGAGAGGAAAAAATAATAGGAAGGAGGGAAGAAAGGAGAGAAGGAGAAGGAAGGAAAGAAAGAATGAAAGAAGGGAAGAAAGGAGGGGTAAAAAAAAAGAACTAGAGAGGAGAAATAAGAAAATAAAAAGGAACAGAAGAGAGGCCAAAAAAATAACCAGTGTTTAATTAATATTTGAAATTATTATTGATACTACCCAGAGGCATTATAAATGGTACATTAAATATTTAGCATAGAACCTAGAAATGTCTGTTTTCATAACAATTATTATAGTGAATTTGACTAATATTTACACTTGAATGCATAACATGAAAAATTATAACAGTAGTGATGAAAATAATCAAATTAAAAAGTTGGTAATGATAATATTTTAAATCTTTGGCTGTTTTATTAATCCAAGATAACATTTACAATGCTTTGGCTGGAAACCTTCATTTTCTCCTACTCAGTCGTATGTTGTATTGTTATTTTTTAAAGATTTTATTTATTTATTTTTAGAGAAAGGAGAAGGAAGGGAGGGAAACATCAATGTGTGGTTGCCTCTTGAGCACCCCCTACTGGGGACCTGGCCCATAACTCAGGCAACATACCCTGACTGGGAATCAAACTGGCGACTCTTTGGTTTGCAGGCCAGTACTCAATCCACTGAGGCACACCAGTCAGGGCTGATTCTCTCTTTTTTTAAAAAAAGATATGTAATTAGAAACCTTTAAGTACTTAGAAATAGTATAAATTATCCATTTTTAACATGAACTTAGCTTGACAGGGACCTGTTTTAAGTAGCTAATAGGGTCAAATAAATCATATACATTGAAGACATTATAAAAATTGAAGGAAATAGGCCTCTTCAACTCTGAATGATGTGGAGTCTCTGTGGAAACTTCTAACAATCAGTGGATACTGAAAAGGAATGGAAGCTTTCCTGTCCCCTTTGTTAAGAAAAGAAAAAGATATAGAAAGTCAAAAGCAGTGTTTTACTCTTCTTAATAGAAAATAATTCTTATATTAAACATTCTATGAACCACACACTAAACAGAAATCACAAAGGATACGAAAGTTAATTAAATATACCTCTTGCACTCAAGGGGCTCACTGCAATCCACTGAGGGAAGGCAGAAATTTAGGTATCTGAAATGCAAGATGATAAATACTAAAATGAGGCTCAAGGAGCCTGAACAAAGAAGGGAACACCTAATTCTCTCTGTGAAGTCCCGGAAAAGCCTCACAGAGAAGATATTTCTTGAATTGAACTCTGAAGAATGAGGACAGTTTTACCATACAGAGAAGGCAGGGGAATAAAAAGCATAAAATCTGCAAGAACATGGAATATTTGTGAGATTTCCCTCGGTCTGTATCAAGGGAGCATATGGTCCATGTGGGAGAAGGATGGAGGCTGCTGGGCCCGCCGAGGAGTGGATTCCAGCCTCGAGGTCTGCACTGCTCAGCGGAGCAGCCACTAGCTACATATGGCTATGTAGATTTAAATTTAAGTCAATTAAAATTTAAACTTCAGTTCTTCAGTTCATACTAGCCCCATTTTAAGTGCTCCACTGCCACACGTGGCTAGCAGTTGTCATTATGGACAGAACAAAGAGAGACTTTCCATTATCATAGAAAGTTGTCTTGAGTAATGCTGCTCTAGGCTGTCTACATCATCAGTAAGTATTCATAATAAAATGAGTTCAATGGACAAATAAGTTTTTATGTAATACCTTCTTGGATATTCACAAAATACATGAGCATAATGAAGACCTTGACAAGTTCTGCAGTGAAAGGAATGTAGTTCAACTTTGCTTAATTCAATGTTTCCTATATTTACTTGATTACTGAACCTTCTTGGCTAAAGATGGTCTCATTTATACATGCTATGACTAATTCTGTATGTTGCAGAAGAAGTGATTACTGATAGCACTCGGGAAATACTGCTATGGCCATCAGGGTCCAAGGATGGCATTTGGGTGAGGGAATGCCATGGTCCAACAGGAAACCAGAACGTTGTGACCTGGAATCCAAGGGGAGAGGGAACGCCCAACAGATATACAGTCAATATGTTTTGAATGCCACAGAGAGGACATGGGTTTAGTAACAAAAGGGTCAGAAGTGGCATAAGCAAGAGCAGTGTCTGCATAGACTAGAGTTAGTTTAGGATAGATTGGCGTGCACATGAGAATTGAATTGTAGATGAGGAGGTAGGACTAGTGGGATTTTGTGGGGGCGACTACTTCACGAGGTCCCCCGGTGCCACGGACACAGGTGAATGAATAAATATGGCCGAGACATGCTGAGATCTGCTTGGGGAGGAGGAGCGGGCTGTGGCCAGTTTCTCAGGGGAGACAAAGGCCAGCAGCGGCCAGTTTCTCCGAGGAGAAAAAGCCCCCCCGAGCGCCTTTCTCCATAGCCTTTTGTTGGGTTGTAATACACAGGAATACAGGGTGGCAAGGATCAAACAGTAGATAACATCACAAAGAAATCTGAGGGCTTCAAAGTCTGAGTCAGTGTCTGTCAGGAAGAGAGTTGCAGAAACTTTGGGAGACATACTCATTTCCTCTTGGACCCTTATCATATGAATGAAAGCACTCCTAGCAGAGCAGATTTCACAGGTTAATCAGCAAGTCTTTGTGATGCCAGATTTTTCCCCAGGACACACTCTAGCAAGGCAAGGAGCTGCACCTCTTCCATCAGGTATTCAGGCTTAAGAGGATTAGAGCCAGGAAGTGCTTTTCCCAGAGAATACTGGGGGGGGGGGGGGGGGGGGGCAAGAGTTCATTGCTCTTTGTTGCAGCCCCCCCAAGTCCTCAAGTCCTTCCATGAAGGCCTCCCAAGTGATGAGTCTGACTTAGGTTGCCCCCCACTGTGAGGGGTCTTACCCATTTCTGTCATTGACTTCCGACCAAGCTCTGGGGGCAGGGAGAGGAATTGAGGCAGTGTTTGCTACCAGAGATAAGCTTTGTCTCCTGCGGCTGGCATTCCAAAAGTTGTCTCTTGCCCTTAGCCACAAGGGGTAGAGATAAAATTCTTAAAACTAGGCAGAGCGGTCTACTACAGGATTTACCTGCCTGGAGAATAAAAACAATAGAACAACTGCTAGAGAGGAATGAATAAAACTGGCTTTTTGGAAAGTGAAAGGTACCATTTACATCAATACCATAGATATTTATTGAGTGACATATATGTGTGTTTATATATATACACACACACAGAGAGAGAATTTAAAAATCTTCATTCTTACCTTCAAGAGACTCAAGAGTATACCACATTAAAGAAATTATAAAGGGATAATTTGATTTTAGTTCTTTCATGTAAATGTTGGTAAAAGTAACTACCGTATTTTCCACAATACCATGGTTCATGAAGAGTCTTTCAACTTCTTGATGAAAACTGGTTTTAGACTTGAAGACACATTAATCATCTCTGCAGTATCGGATATTTCTGCTGTCAGTAAACACACACATGGTAAGTGAAGACAACTTCTTCCAAGCAGTGAGAGGGGATTTGGGACAAAACACTTGCCATTGGGCAGGACAGAAGAGAGATAAGAGTAGGGAGATCTGGAGCAAATGCCAAACCCAAAGAACAAGAAAAAGAGCACACATAAGAAATGAGGTCAGTAATCACAAACCCACAAAAAAAAAAAAGGCATGAAGGATAAACTCACTATCTCAGGCTTATAAGTAAGATGTCAGGAACGGGGGTCGAGATGGGCCCCAATGTCCCTCAATAAACACAAATGCATCAAAGGGCAGACACACAGACACTGCAACAACAAACACAGACTCGCGGCAGCCAGTCAATACGTAAGTTATCAGTGTTACTAAGTTCTGGTCATTGGTGTTCTGGGAAACTTGAGAAAGAGTAATATATTTGGTGTAGTTATCTAGGAAAACAGACTTTAATGTATTCTTTTTTGTTTTCTTCATTAGATCCCCTGAGCAGAGTGTGTTTAAGACCAAAAAACGTAACTGATTCTTTGAGCACTTACATTAATGCGAATTATATTAGGGTAAGTAAATAAATACCCATTTCTTTCTCATGAGCATGTCAACTTACTATTTGGAATTCGGGTTATATTTTTTTCCTTAGAATAGATTAATTTTTACTTAACTTGGTTACTAGTAAATTTTTGTTTGTTCGTTTAGCCATAATCAACACTGGTAGTGTGTTTTTTATAATGAGTCTCTCTTTCCTGTGCATCCGTGGCCACAGAGCCCCGTGTGGGGTGCTCTGGTGAGAACTAAACATCATGACAGCCACTGCCATTTGCCATACTTAACTTCTGAGAGAACAGCCAGGGGAATAGTTGTGTTGGAGTGAGTTAAGCTGCAGAAATCTGTGTTGCTTTTGGACTAGCAGAGCTATATTGTTCTGAAAATATTTTATTTAAATTTTCAGTGGAAGGCATGAACTTCAAAGCCAACTTTTCATATCTTTACTCAAACTAGGGCTACCGTGGCAGAGAGAAAGCGTTCATCGCCACACAAGGCCCCATGATCAACACCGTGAATGATTTCTGGCAGATGGTCTGGCAGGAAGATAGTCCTGTGATTGTTATGATCACAAAACTGAAAGAAAAAAATGAGGTATGACATTGTCCCAAGTACTAAATGTTATATATTTTCTGTTGCTATAGAAGATATATTGCATAAGAAAAATTGCCATGTACTTAATAAGAGATTTAAGATGGAAATTTTAAGACACTTAAGCAGTTGGTTGCTTTATGCTTCCCAAAATGGTAATTGGTGTTACTCTGTTCATGACAACTTTCTTCCAGATAAATCACTATATATTGAATACTCATGTCTCACACGTGTCTACCTGTCTCAGTGAGGAAATGAGAGACCACAAATTATCATCCTCCTTTATAGGCAGGGGAATAAAAATTATTCATTTAAGTAATTTTTGTACCTACTATGTGACGAGTATTGTACAGTTTTAGTTGTTGACAATATACTAGTGGACAAAACACACAAATATTCCTGCCTTTGGTAGATTTTAACTTTCTTGGGGGTGTTGGGAGGTGACAGACAAAACCAATAAACATAGCAAGTTCAAAAACAGTAGACGGGGCAAATACTGCAAACAAAATGTAGGATGGGGTGTGCGAGCTGTCGGAGGCGCTGAGAGAAAAGGCTGACCTGCAGCGATGCCCATGGGAGGGGCCTCACTAAGAAAGTCAGATTTAAAGAAAACTGTGAATAGAGTCACAAAAGCCAAGGAGACTTTCTCAATATCTCTATAAAAAGAGTCCAAGAATGAGGCAAAATTAGATTCTATTTTCTTCTGAGGATCTCACTTACGAACAGAATACTAGTTCTGTATTTTGCATCATAAAAGTAAAATTGTGTAATTCCCACAGGGTGCTGTCCTAGGTCCTGCTTACATTTTATGGCATTTTGTCCTCTTATTGGCATAAGTCTGATTTTTGTCAGCTCTTATGTTTGTTTTCCCGTTGAAAGCACTATAACAGGGCTTCGCTGTGACAGTAAGAATTTAAGAAAACTGAATTTTCCTTTATACTCCTTTGCTGAGTTATAACAGCTAATTGAGAAAATCCAGGCTCACAATGGCACTTTATAAGTTTTTAAAAGTTTGTTCTTTTCTTCTATAGTAGATGGAGGGTTTTTTTCTGAAATTTATTTTGGAAAAAAAGTGTATTTTCTTTGTCCAGTAGATGAAGGTATATACTTCATTAACTACATGGTTTACAAAGTAAATGCCTTTCTCTGAATTTTATGTGAAAGTCTGATGTGGCATAATAAAAATAACCCATAATATTCTCAGCTGTTTCACCCACTTTCAATCTGCCAGACGTATTAAGCCACCAACAATTCCTGCACAGTTGTTTGATATTCATGACATTTTAACTTCATGGTAGAAAAAGAGTCTTCAAAGTTAGAAGTTGTGCTCTTTGTGTATCTACATCCATAGAACTGAAGTAATATGGCAGGCTAGATAACCTAAAAGACCTCTCCTTACAAAATCAATTATACTGGGGAAGACATGCAATAACAGGTACAGCAGAGCGTGAAAGAAACGAAAGGAACTCCCAGCAGTTAAAAATGGAATGAAAGGCATAAAACCAGAGAATTGCAGGTTACCTGTGCTTTAATGATAACACAAGAGATGGAGACAAAGACTTACTTGCAGAAACCAGGAGTTCGAACTGAGACCTTCCACAAAGGGGGCACTTGTGAGGGCTGCGCCCTCAGAGAAAGGTGAACCACAGAAATAAACCTGCCTCCCAAAACAGGACTACAATGAGAAGTCCATCTGTCTTAGTCCACGCTTCTTTCTCACGGCATAAATAAAAAGGTTCCCTTGAGTATTCAGAATTCAAAAACCCGGAAATGCCAAGTGGAGTAATTAACAGAAAAAGTATTATAATACTGGATTGGTAATGCTCTGTGGCACTTTCCAGAAACAAAGGCAAAAACTTTTTTGGTGCATACAGTCTCAGCATCTATTTCATGGAACTTCCACAGAAAAAGTCCAGAAAAATGTAACCTCGTAAGTCAAAATTATGAGGCACCTAAGTAAACAACATACGAAATAATCAGAAAAAGCAACAAAGTAGAAATAGATCCACAAAAATGTGAAGAATAGAAACCATACAGGATAAGCTATATATTTTTCGTAATTAAACACACAAAATATAAAATAAAAAACTTGAAAAGGTGCAAGTTACTATAAAAAAAATAAGGGAGAATTGTAAACAAACCAACAAGTAGTAGAAATAGTTACAATATAGACACTGTTATTTAAAAGACAACCTCATTAGGCAGGTTTAGTAGTAGGCTGGACACAGCTAAATATTTACGAGGTTAAAAAAATAGAGCAAAGGAAATCACCTAGAAGCTCAAAATGACCCAAAATATGACAGAGTCTCTGATACAGAGAACACAATATTTAAATGCCCAATATATGTCAAATGGATATTTTGGGAGAAGAAAAAGGTGAATATTAAAAAAAGGAGTAATATTTGAAGGAATAATGACTAGGAATTTTCCAAAACTGAGGAAAGACATGCGCTTTCAAAGCTGTAAAGCACAATAAACCCTCCACTAGGTAACTCGAAATAAATCCACAACTAGACACGTCTGTGAAACTGAACAGAGACAATTTTTCACTAATTTTTTATTGTTGTTCAATTATAGTTGTCCCCATTTTTCCCCCATTGCCGTATTTTGCCATGTATAATGTGCAGATTTTTGCCCAAATTTTTGAGGGAAAAATAAGGATATGCGTTATACATGGGTAGTACTAATTTGGAATCTATAAATGTTTTCAATTCTTTTATTTACACTCATGTGTTAAAGTTCAACTCTAGAAAGCAATAATGATATCTGTATGCAAATAATACCCTGGGGTATGATCATTGGCTTTGTTCCTAAATGTAAATAAATAAATAATTGAATTAAAAAGTTAAAACAAAAGATTTTTTTCCTGAAGGTCTGGGCCAAAACTGTGTGTGCACATCACACATGGGAGCACATTATGCATGAAAAATGCAGTGCTCTCCCCTGCCCTGCACGCCCCCCCCCACCTCCCACATTCAGTCCTTCCTCCCCATCCATTCTCTTTGTCCACAGGTCCTTTATGCATGTTCCTTGACATGACCCTTCCCCTTCTTTCCCTTGTTACCCTCCTCCTCCCCCCTCTCCTCTGGTTACTGTCAGTTTGTTCTTTATTTCCATGTCTAAACAGACCATTTTAGCAACTAGAGTAACTAACAAATGGCTTCTTAGTAAAAATAGAAGCCAAAAGTCAGTTGAATAATACCTACAGAGGGATGAAGGAAAGTAACTGACAACCCAGAATTTATTCAGGATTTGGCAACATTTCCGAGTAGAATGCATTACCCCTGCCCACTTTGGTTTGAATCATAATTTTCTCAATACACTGTCACACTGTGTTTTCTGAAAGCTCATTCATACCCTTAGAAATTCTATTTTCTCTTTAATTAAAAATAAAATCATGTATTATGAACATTGGAAAAGCGCTCTAATTTATGTAATTATGTGAGTGTAAGTATGTAAATGTTTTGAAACAACTAAATTATATTTCCACAGAAAACATTTCTTACTTGTCAGCATTGCATGTTTATTAAGGATTAACACTTGGCAAAACATATGTGAAACAGTATCTCCCAAGGATTACAGAATCATTTGCAGCAACTGTAAGCTAAGGCACAGTTTTTGTTGCTTTGAGCATTTCATTCCTCTAACCTGGTGATGCATTTGTTCACTTTTGCAGAAAATGTCAGAAGTATGTCTTCAGTGCTAGGGTTCCTTTCATCAGAAGAGAAGCAGCTAAGATTCTTAGTCAGAAGCATTCTGTAGAGGCTGAGTAATTTATGACATGCTCTACAGATGTTAGCAAAGATGGTCTGAGCCAGGGAAGAATATGCCAAAGCCCCAGTTCTTCCCCTTTGTCCCCAAGACAAGGGCTGTCGTTCTAACCGAAGTGTTGAATGAGCTGAATCTGTATTTCGATGTGATGATGGTGATGCTCAGAACTCTCCAGGCGGAGTCTGGAATGGAGTAGAGCACCCGTTGTTCACTTTCAACTTCATCAGGTAATAGTTGGAGGCACCTGTTGGTGCCACTCTCAGAATCCACATTCTTCATAGGAAGGCCAAGTGGATCTGTTGAAAGTTAGATTTTTTTTTTAAATAATGACCACACTAAAGGGTGATTGAGGCTTTTGTTTATCTCTTTGACTGAACTTAGAAATTGGAAAGGTATTTTTTTTCTTACTATTTTTAGACTTTTGTCTTTTAAATGTCTGGGCTATAGCTCCTAGAAATATCAAAGTGAAACATACCATGTTTTCTATGAGTAATTTACTATGTGTGTTTTCCAGTAGCCAGTCATAATCCCAAACATCATGGTACACATTTTGACTTCTGCATTGTTGATTAGTCATTAAATTAAAGTGAAAATTCCTTTCCATCCTGACTCTCCCGAGAGGTAAACATGGCGCTATAGAGGAAGTGGTCCTTACCGATCCGCCAGGAAGACACCGTTCACCACCAATGTGCCAACTCCCAGTTGTGTTAAGCGTCATTGTTTAGAATAGACAAAAATCATTTCCTCCCACAAAAATGAAGGGGCAGTTATCTTTAGGAATTCCCAGGCTTTATATGTTGGTGAATCTTTTTACTTTTTAATAAATAAATATAAATAAATAATTTCCACTTTTCAATATTCTCAGTTTTTGTAATAAAGTGAGAATAAGCAAAAACTTCAAAAATGGAGCTGAAAAATCAAGTTACATTGCAAGAAAGAGAAGAGATTGTGTTGCTGGATAATTTGAGTTCCTTCATTTAGATAAATTGCAAGAAGAAGGGAATTCCTCCTGAAGGAGAGAGAACATAAGAACACTGTGTGCAAACTCTTTTACACATGAACTATGGCATCACTGAAGAAGTTGCAGTGGCCCAGACCTGCAGAGCTAGAGTTGGGGCAGTCCAAGAGTCGGGGAGCATTTGCGCATTTGCAGACTCCTCAGGCCACCTCTGGAAGTTACCTGGTGCCCCGTCACCTCTTTCTAGGAAAGAAGGGAAGTAGCTACAAATGCT